GATTGAAATATGTCTTTTAAAATTGAGAGAGTGTTCATCACTCAACGGTGTACATATGACATCCACATGTCTGTGCATTATTTATGCTGTATAATTTATAATCTATTTTCGTCTTGTTTCCGCGATATGTAGAATATCAGGATGGTTTCTGTACCATGTGAGATATTGCGCTATATGTTGAATCCTTGTGTCATTGTAAGTCAAGGTAGTTTAGTTTGGCATGTTTTTAACACCAGAAGCTGCATGCCTTTGCACGTTGGACAAAATAGTAGGTTTCAACAAACAGGATTCTCTTCAACTCAAAAAGCTGTCAAATATAATTAATACAGGTTTAGGTGTTTTCTAGAAAACAGTTATTTGAGGACAATCGTGACGATGGACGGACAAAGAACGCCGTGCCGTGCCACAATAGCATACACTCCTCGCACTAGGAAGGAAATGCTAATTACAAAGTTAATCAGATACAGTGAGAAACACAATAGAATCGATGGAAAGTAAACAAGTTGTCACGCAGTCTTCCTAAACACGCCACTAATTGAACTCATCGTACTAATAAATTTCTTCATGGTTGTCACTTGACAAAAAAGGAATGCTATTTGCTGATTAATAGCAATATAATTTAAGGTCTGGATATAAATAACTATGAATAAGTTATAACCCGTGAACACTATAATTACGGTTAATCTTGATAGGATCAGCGTGACTGAGCATGATTCACAGGAAACAATGATTACTGTGAACGTGTATAACGACCACAGAACACATAAAGGTTTATCTTCATACTTTATGTCAACTAACAAGTCAATGTAATATACTGACACTGCTTTCCCCAATGGTATCAATACCAAATGATGATGATGACGTCACAATTTGTGAGGTCATGGTTTGATGACTTCATTGTGTTGTGTTGACGTCATGGTAACAGTGTTATGACGTCATCAACATCAACGTCATAGTTACTCAACATGTTTGTCAAGATGGATGTGACATAGAGGTCCAGTGACATTTAATCCCTGACGAAGGGCTAAGCCCGAAAGCTTGGAAAAGAGTGACTTACAAGTTCATAAATATTATTGCGTTCCCTATAGGAACATATGTTTATTTAAGCAATAAACTGCATAGATGTGGCAGACCAACTGGTATAACTGCCACATGTGTCACAGACAAACTGAATGGTGCGCGCTAGCGCACCATGATATACCAGTTGGTCTGCCACATCTATGCAGTTTATTGCTTATATTTATATTTCAGTAATGAGAATTCGGAAAAAATAGTAAATGTCTTTTCCAAATTTCAAATTTCCCGCTTACTACCGTCAGGTCAGGTCAATATCTAGAACGGCACAAAGATAACAGCTGACGTCACGCGCTATTTCCCATACAACATTGAAATGGCTCCGCAATTTTCGTTAATGATTCATTTGTTTTTAATTTATATATATATATCATATTCTCAATTCATAAAATAGTAACAAATAAAATTTTGTAAGTAACCAATCAAGTGTCGTAAAACATTTTCCGATTGAATTGCGACCTATATCCGTTGCACGCACTCAACGGAAGCCCGCAGTAATCAGGTCAGAGTTATATTTGCAGTCCGGCATGTTGTTGATTTTGATCGTGCAACCGGAAAAGGTTGAATTGGTGAAAAATCCAGGCGTAAAATTGTTTTGTTGATCACACAGACACGTGAGACAGGCAGCTGGTGTTCGGGATCAAAGCAGAAGATACCGATAGGTTCGGTAGTGACACTGTTAAGTCGCTCGGAGGTGCAAAGACCAACTTCAGTTATACTCTCATAAGATGAATCTGCTATTGGTAGTACTTCAGTTGTAATATAGAAGGGCTTTGCCACATCAAATGTAAATATAGACAATTAGTATTATTATACAGTTTGAACTCAAATAATAAATAACAGTATATACAGTAATCTAGCATCGAACCGAAAATAAATAGTACAGCAGACTATGCTTACAAGCTACTGAAATGGTCAATGACCAAGTGAAAAACTCAGTTGTCCAGTCTATTTCGAAATTTCAAGGTGCTAAATTCAAATTTGACTTTTTAACTCAAACATCGACCTAAATACTCGAAATGTGAACTTACTCAATATGCCGACTTACTGTTGGTTTATAGAGGGACGTAAAAGTGATTTTTGAAACTGTGATTATCCATCAGAATTATAACGGTTTTTTGGATACATCCCACTTTCCTAGGAAAAATGTCCTTCCCATATTCTACATAAATAATCTTGATAATATCTCACAGAATAGTTACGACCTTGGCTCATAAATTGATGATTTCTTTAAAGGGATGCATTAATAATGCGCCGGAAATTACTAGTATTTTATAGAATACATTTATGATAATACTTTTAAAAGGAACTTTTCATGTAAAAATCTCTTGTCTTATGTTATGGTATAATTTTTAGTTTTTTTATTTCACAACAATTATGAAACATTTTTTTCCCCTTTTTCAACTTCTAGCAATCACTCTTGTTGGCCTGGATGAAGTTTAGGAAGGTCTTACTGTGGGAGGAAACTGAATGTCCCGGATATGCACTAGTGGTCAGGCCGATAACCCAGTAACTTTTCACGTCCGATCGCGGAATCGAACCCCGGACGTCTAGTTGAAAGTCGAGTGCGATATTCGATGCACAATCCGACCACAAATGAGGTCCTTAAATCATGAAAGAATTGATGTTTCAGTTTAAGTTCAAATGTTCAACTTATTACATGCCAGAAATTCCCCCACTCAAACACACAAAAACAGTCACACACAAACAACGAAAAAATCGCTTAATTTGGCTCTTATTTTACAAACCAAAAATGGGTATAAACTAAGAGATGCGGTTCAAAGATAATATGTTAATCACTTAATTTTGCCCTTTCCACATCTATAACGGTAAAACATTCAAAATAAAATATACACAATAATTGATAAATGGACGGATTACAAAATAAATCATAGCAACTAATGTCTTTTCGTTAGTGTGAGGTTGAAACAAGCTGGACTGATGGATAAAATATATCAGAAACGGAAAGTAAACTAACCTCGTTCCATCGGAGCTGAACTTGAAATGGATGGGCATGGTGGGATTCACATGGCTATAACTAAGTAGACATAGGTTCACCGTCTCATTAGAAGCATAATCAACATACTATATCGTACAGAAGGGTCTCAGAAACATTTCAATTCATGCTATTGTCCTCAATATTAGATGTTTTTACCAATATGTGACCTGAATTTGGTTCAAAAGCTTCATAAACTGGTGACACGGACTGAGATGCTAGCACATGTGACAGTTCATGGATGTAGACATACGAATAGGTTTATTCTGGGTCCGAGATCCAACATATTGTGTAAGTCTTAGGGGCCATTCTGAAATTATCTTAAAACAACAGAGGTTTCTTTAGGTTTTATGCGGTTTATTCATGAAAAAGGAAAAGCACGAAAAGTTATTTCGATTTCATTGTAGACAGTCATTGTGTTTTTTTGCGTTTATCGTCATGAAGTGGTATTTTCATATCGTTTGTTATGAACTGTAATTTTGTAAGTAAGCCAGGACAATAGTTACGAGGTCTTTATTATATGTCACGGACCCTATTCAGAATAAAATATACACATAATCGACTTATAACCTGACAATCACTTAACGAAACCTAGACGTCCAATATTAATATGAACAATTCAAACATACTGTGCAACGATCTACGACCATTCTGTTTCATAATTCACTAATTATTACGAAAATTCGCGCTTGTTTAGTAAGTATAAAAAGCAAATGGTTTTGAACTATACGCGGAGTATAAAATGCTGACATTAATACATTGTTCCACCAATCCTTGATGACGTCAATAAAGGGTTATTCAAGAACCATTTTACTTCACGTTTAATTGATTCTGACTCACAGTAACATCCATATTCCCTCCCCCGCACACATACAATCGCCCACACACAGTTCAAGTAATTCAGATTCGAACTCTCACAAACCCACAGAGATTCAATTATGTTCAAACACTCTATATATCATGTAATTATTCTGAACTTTCTTAAACAATGTATAAAGCATGTATCCCTCTAACTAACCAGGCGACAACGATAATTGTTATATAACACACAGATTCAGAAAAATTACGAACGATCATCTAATTAATCTCATACGGAGCCATACTTGAACTTGTTTTAAGTGATTCTTGATTAGTTTGTACATGTTTTCATGATAAACTACAAGGTATTCTGTTTTAGTGCGAAATAGCCTGTTTCTTAAATATATTTAACCTATTAGTATATTTCATCGACATTTACATCGTGTATGTGAGACTGTTATCAGACAAAGTCGGGGCACATTCTCGATATTGTTCTGTATCTGTGTTGTTATCATGATTCTCCCCAATTATTGTCCGAAGATACATATAATCTCGTAAACGCTTCGTCGTATTCAAATGAAAATTCACAGTAGTTTTTTTTATTATGTTTGTGTTCCAGCAACCTTTCTTTCTACAGTTGCGCATCCAAAATGGCAACTGAAGCTTACGATTGTGTCCCTAAACTTGATTAAAAGTACTACTCATCCGGTGCATCAAATTTACATTAGAAGGCATTTCCTTTATGATATTTCCTGTATAATTTCTGTAGCATAGTGTACACTTTGATATTTATAATTTTAACTGTTACATCAGCAGAAATATACAACAGATACTAATCACGTTATTTTGGACTAAAATTAATTATCGAATCGATTCATGAAGACGATCAACGTATACATAGCAGTCTACTCTACGTTACTGATGTGAAACCAGCATTACTTATCACCTTAGAAACCAAATCGTATCTTTTTATAAAACAAGATTCAGAAAGGCCTCGGGTTGATAAACATATGTTGGTGTCAGTTTGTTGCCAAGCATAAATGCATGGAAATATTACACATTAAAATTAATTCACTACTTTCAATTCGTACTTAGATACATGATTAAAATTAATCTATACCTATTGCAAATTTTATGCACAGTCTCGTATGTACTCGTCGTAAGCGGTGTCGGCGTTGTCGTACTGTTGGTGGTTAGTGTCATCGTGTACTCGCATGGGTCGTAAAACACAGTACGACCCGGTACTCTTCCTGTAGTAGTACGCCACACAGACAAAGTCCGAACGGGTATCACACGCGTTTGCACAGTAGGCCGCAGTGACACTTCCGCCGCTTATAGAAGGAGTGAAGGAGACTGGAGGGTTGAAGAACCTATCCGTCCTCATGGTGTACGTGCTGGCGTATGAGCTACATTCTGAATACAACAGTGAAATAAGAATTGGTATTAGAAGAGAAATAAGGGATACAGTATGATTCCATCAAAAGGGTGCAGATGGGAATTCTTGTCATCTGTTGATTCTTTGAAGCTATTTTATAATATGTTTTGAAAAAGATACAATGACATTGACCTTAAAGTTTCTATTTTATAATCGTTCTTTTTATTGGAAGTTGAAAATCAATATCGAGAAATTATGTGATAGGATATGTAGAAACCGATTTGCTATATCTTTTTTTGTAGTTATACGTTCTTTTAACTATTGACGACCTGAAAGCACTCCAAATTAAGTATAACGTCAAAGGAATCCTGGTTCACATATAAACTTCAACTGAATTAGATGAGTACATATATCATACCAAATCCTCAATTTGTAGTAACAAATGTATTTATATCTAACCTTTGAACTACAGCTATTGTTCTCTTCCAAACAATAATGGTGATGAACAGACAAAATGTGGCATTTCTAAACATTTTCTTCAGGTTGGTAACTATGGATTATGAGAAGTTCTTTTTACACAACCAATAAAGTTTTCTACGTGACGTTTCGATGACTAGTACGATATGTACACTGTCACCTTCATCAGACAAATTACCAATGAAGCGTATGCACACAAAGGTGTAAAATGTGTACGAGTTGTCCATAAAATCGATGTCGATTTCGGCTACGCTGGAAACGTTTTTAATATAAAAAAATACATTAATCATATCTGATTTCTTATTAAAGGAATAACAAATCATCTATACTTAGATTAGATCCAAATAGAATTATCACTCAAATAAAACACATAATACATATACGTTGGGTATTACACAAAGACAAAGAAACACTTACATTACATCTCTCCGTCCGTCACCTATGAGTTCTCAAAAGGTACTAGCGTAATTATTTTCCCACAAAGAAACACGCCCCAAAACTGACCACCCAGAACGAACCAATGAAAAAGCATACATAACTTGACGTAACACTACTGACCAATGAACAACTTTATGGTATACCAACGTATCAACATACGTAACGAGCAGAACACCACAATACACCTGTAGACATAACATCACAGCATAGAATACAACACGCGGACGCGGTAGTTAAATTACACGGAGTTTAAAATATACACGGACAGACGACGCGCTACGGACGGACTAAGTAAACAAACATACATAAAAGCAAATACATTAATCTATCCCTGTTACACCTTCATCAGACAAATGATCAATGAAGTGTATACACACAAAGGTGTAAAATGTGTACGAGTTGTCCATAAAATCGATGTCGATTTCGGCTACGCTGGAAACGTTTGTAACAAGAGAGCAAGATTACCGAGGGCCAATACAGATATATGTATCCCACAGCAGGGAACACTCCTAGAATGTACTGTACACCCAAGATCCACAAGCAGGGAAACCCACTGAGGCCTATTGTGGACTACACTGGATCAATTGGTTACAATGTTTCCAGATCATTAGCAGACATTCTTGGACCGCTTGTAGGTAAATCAAAACACCATGTAAAGAATTCAAAACATCCAGCTGAAGCTATGTCTGCCATCATGATTCAGGAAGACGAATAATTCATTTCACATGATGTTGTCTCTCTCCTGACTAACACACCCATTGACGACGCACTTAGAATCATTCGGAAACGCTTAGAATTAAACAGATCCTGGTCCATAAACACAAACCTTCAGATTCAGGACATCATGGGTTTGCTGGTGCTCACAACAACATATTTTAGTATCCGGAACAACATCTATCAACAACGCTTCGGCACTGCTATGGGTAGTCCAGTGTCTTCCATCGTTGCCAATTTGTTCATGGAACATCTGGAGTAAGAAGCAATAGCCACTGCCCCAATTGAATACAAGTCTAGTTTATGAAAACGTTATGTTGACGACATACTTGAGATAATCAAGAAGGGGTCACAGAAAGATTTGACCACACATATCAACCCTATAGATGCCACTAACAACATCAATCTTACATGTGAGGAAGAAACCAATGGCACAATGCCCTTCCTAGACACTCTACTTATATAAAGAAAGAAGACGAATCCGTGAAGGTATTGGTCTATAGAAAAAAGACTCATACGGACCAATACCTGAACTTCAAATCTCACCATCCTTTACACCAGAGGTTAGGCGTCATAAGCACATCGCTCAACAGATGTGGTACAATAGTCACAGAACAACAGGACAAAACGCAAGAGCAGAATCACATCGCTAGGGCAATGAGAACATGTGCATATCCGGAATGGGCCCTAAAACGGGTAAAACACAGTGTCAAAGTAAGGAGAAGAACAAGAAAAGGCCAATCAAGGATAAGAACAAAACCAAAGTTCAAGTGGTTATCCCGTATATAAAGGATATAACCGAAACCATCCAGAGGATATATCGCGGTCATGGCATAGCAACAGCCATGAAGCCCCACAAGACGCTTCGCAATATCCTAGTACATCCTAAGGTTAAAACACCTACAGAAAACGTCGCAGAATGCGTATATAAAATCGGATGCAAAAACTGCGACGCATCGTATATTGGAGAAACTGGAAGACGATTTGGGGTCCGCCTTGGTGAACACCGGAAAGATACAGAAATCCAAGAAGGTAGGAAATTCACCAGATCTGAAAGAAAACAGTTGGAGTCCAAGATAAATAAATCGGCAATCACAGACCATGCCAGAGAAACCATGTGATTGACTGGGATAACTCCAAAGTTTTGGACAGAGAGGGCAATCTGTTCAAGCGTCAAATAAAGGAAGCCATCTGGATATGCCTCAGTGGGCCAGCTCTAAATCGAGACGAGGGGGCTCAAAGACTCTCGCTCATCTATGACCAAGTGCTAACAAAGTGTAGCTGAAATGAGTCATTCCGGTACATATATAACAACTATTGTACATACGTTTCCAGCGTAGCCGAAATCGACATCGATTTTATGGACAACTCGTACACATTTTACACCTTTGTGTGTATACACTTCATTGATCATTTGTCTGATGAAGGTGTAACAGGGATAGATTAATGTATTTGCTTTTATGTATGTTTGTTTACTTAGTCCGTCCGTAGCGCGTCGTCTGTCCGTGTATATTTTAAACTCCGTGTAATTTAACTACCGCGTCCGCGTGTTGTATTCTATGCTGTGATGTTATGTCTACAGGTGTATTGTGGTGTTCTGCTCGTTACGTATGTTGATACGTTGGTATACCATAAAGTTGTTCATTGGTCAGTAGTGTTACGTCAAGTTATGTATGCTTTTTCATTGGTTCGTTCTGGGTGGTCAGTTTTGGGGCGTGTTTCTTTGTGGGAAAATAATTACGCTAGTACCTTTTGAGAACTCATAGGTGACGGACGGAGAGATGTAATGTAAGTGTTTCTTTGTCTTTGTGTAATACCCAACGTATATGTATTATGTGTTTTATTTGAGACATAATTCTATTTGGATCTAATCTAAGTATAGATGATTTGTTATTCCTTTAATAAGAAATCAGATATGATTAATGTATTTTTTTATATTAAAACGTAATAATGGAGGTCATGTACTTTGCTTTTTGGTAAGAGGCGTTATTACGTTGTGCTCATTTGACTAAGTTTCGATAAATTTATTTAGATGTCTTTTATTTAAATTACAGTAATCCGTATCGTATATGATCAAAGAAGGCGTCGTGCAAATAGATTGTAGTCAAGGCCTTGTGCCACACTCAGGTATGCTATAGTGTTTTTTATGTAAAAGTATATATATAGTATTAATGTGAGAAGGTGTATGTCGCTAGACTGCTAACTGTGAATTTAGTAGATTGTCCAGTAATTTTGTGTTGAGTCAAATCTTCAGTTTGATTGTATTTCGTAAAAGTTGTAATTGTAATGTGTATTGTCTTATCGTTGATACTAGATTTGTAAGGTCAAAAGTTATGTAATCGTGTAAGAGTTCTTTCCCTTGCATATGTACTATTGAATATGATTATGTACGTCTATTTTATATCTATGACTGTAGCTTGTACTTTGTACTTGTTGCAGGGTTCTTTTGGTTTTACAATGAGTGAATAAAACTGACAGTTAACAAAACCCAGAGGAGTTGTCTATTTCACACAACATTACCACCTCTACTACTACGGTGACAGTGTACATATCGTACTAGTCATTGAAACGTCACATAGAACATTGTATTGGTTGTGTAAAAAGAACTTCTCAAAGTGTGGCATATTCTAGATTACATGACTTCCATAAAATATTTCACTGTGTTGACGTGTACAATGCCATGACATGGCAGATGTCCACGACTATATAGTTAAGACACTGCCGTGATAATATTAAAATATGATAATCAGTCAGGCATTGACCACGTTTAAACATGTTAATGGTCTTAGCTGGATGACTGCATTGTTACACCAATAAACAAATATGAGTTGGGTTTTTTTGACAAAAATATCTTTGATACTCCAAGATTGTACATCGTAACTTTTCAAGTAATCTTTATTGTTTCATTTTTATATTGAGATAATCCAGAAGAACTCATATTAAATTGTCTTTGTCATCACACTCGTTAATAAAAAAATCTTTCGTTTGTACTTATTCTTTTTTTGGTTACTTTTTGCCATGTGTAAAAAATTAAGTAACCTTATCTCACCTACATTATCTATCATATCTCACGAGGAAACGATCTAAGATTAAAGTTTGAACAGTCCCTGTCTCATATGCGTAGTGTTTTAATTTGTAATTATTGAATTTGCGTCTTGATTTGGAAAGAAAGTTATGTTTTAGTATGGTCGATTTTTATCAAGTATTGCAAACATTAACGTCATTTGGATTCCACAAGATGTAAAATGAAATGAGTCGGACGTTGGAAGATCTCAAATGTATTTACGTAGCCTAACTACCAGTATGTAAAATGGAAGTATAGTAGACAGAAATATAACAGTTTCAACAGACATCTGACCTATATCATGAATTCCCCCAGGAACCCCGGAATCGACACCAAGGTAGTGTTTATTGTATCCAATTTGGCATCCATTATCATACGGGGATGTTCGGCAAATGCTTTCTGTTGAGTACCCTTAATGTGATGCCGTCAATATTTCAAAACCCATTATGATGACTTTCATGTAAACATACTTGTGCATTGGATGTTTGGGCTGGACCAGGCTCCATTTGTACATGTTGACGTAGCAGGGTCGTTTCCCGATGATAGAATAGCCCCAGTATCACATGTATAGGTTCTGGTTGATCCTGTACCCGACACAGATGTATAGGCGAGATACGGAGGATCCGGACAGGGCACAACTGGAATCAAATACAAACATCAAACACGGGTAAACACTTGTTTTTATTTGTATTCCAGCACGTTCAATATACGTGCAGCTTTCTGCTGGTATCAGAAGTATACGGTAGAGTTCACTACGAATAATAAAAACAAAAATGTTGACATCGTAATTGTTCAATTACTTGTACGTAGATGTTCGATAATATAACGAACAAATATAAATGTCTCAAATCTCTCTCTCTCTCTCTCTCTCTCTCTCTCTCTCTCTCTCTCTCTCTCTCTCTCTCTCTCTCTCTCTCTCTCTCTCTCTCTGCTCTTTGTCCATTTGTTTTGTCTCTCTATGTGTGAAAGTGTGTGATAATTGTAAAAACGCTTGTTTGGGACATCATAAGGATCAATTGTACCGGGTCAGGAGGCAATTGGTGCAGTCGTTTTTGAGAAGAAGTCGAAAATGTCCCAGCAAAACAAAGACCAGGGCAGCCATCTTGAATTATTAAATCGGCACATTGTGTTTTGACACTTGTTCGGGACATCGTAAGGAACAATTGTATCAGGTAAGGAGTCAATTGGTGCAGCCGTTTTTGAGAAAAAGTCGAACATGTCCAAGCCAATTAGATGCCTGTTTTTTTTTACGTTTGTGACCTTGGTAGTCAATAAAGGTTAACCACTTTTTCACACCTGAAAGCTTAACGTCTCAGCATCATACAAATCAACTATCAAGACTCTAGACATCGTAGAACACAAGAAAAAGTGGGGTTTTTTAAAAAATATTTGCAACCCATTAACGTGTATTTGAACCAGTTGGTGAAAAGCCCTAATCATTGAAAGATGGGTTTAATAACGGATGAAATGTTCAATAACATGTTGCAGAGTGCATAATGACTCCTGTATAGGTTTAGACGATATATCCGGAAAAAGGAATGTGCTGTCCATCTCGAATAGTTAAATTCACAAAATAACTTGTAACTACCTGAATACATATAATACGTGATTTCCTGTAATATAACCGTTTTTCCCGTGGAGTTTTAGTGACGTAAAATTATACCGCTGTTCCCTATTTTAATTTACTTCTTATACAAAACTATATAAACATCGAAATAGGACTATGATGTGACACTCTAGCAAATGGTTTCTTCAAAAACATTTGAAACAGATTTATCAAATATGCAAAAATGAATACTTACCACAATCTCGAATGTACTCATCGTAAGCGGTGTCGGCGTTGTCGTACTGTTGGTGGTTAGTGTCATCGTGTACTCGCATGGGTCGTAAAACACAGTACGACCCGGTACTCTTCCTGTAGTAGTACGCCACACAGACAAAGTCCGAACGGGTATCACACGCGTTTGCACAGTAGGCCGCAGTGACACTTCCGCCGCTTATAGAAGGAGTGAAGGAGACTGGAGGGTTGAAGAACCTATCCGTCCTCATGGTGTACGTGCTGGCGTATGAGCTACATTCTGAAAATAGGAGTGACATACACAGATATATATTTCATACCATAATTACAATTATGTTTTCTTAAAGAAGATATCAATGACCCTACTTGTCTCCCGTTGATACATACAATGCCATATTTCTCAAAGGTACTGTGGGAAACTATGTTTAATATTCATATTTGAAAAACAATCTCATGCTCGAAATTTGAAGCAAACACTTACTTTGGAAATAAGCTATCATTGATGCATGCATATAAATCTACGTATGGTAACGATGATATTGATATTTGAAATATTGAATATCATCAAAAATGTTCGGCAAACATTCTTTGACATGAGAGAATTACAACAGATATACAATGTAGTTGTGAAATCTGTTTCCATTAAGGTGTTTCCGACCCTTACCCAAAATATATCATACTTCTCTTTTGCAGAATTGAAAAAAAACGTACCTAAAGTATTGTTTTAATGAATACATTTCAACTTTAATCAAGGGTTGCCAATGCAGTTAATCACCTTCAGCTTTGTCCCTTTAATTGATACTTACCCTGATATTCCTCTAATGGGTAAATGAGAAGTTACATGCCTTATATCAAATAATATCTCCTTGATAAAAGTAAATATAGGAAATAAATAGTCATATAACCATAACTTGAAATACATCGGAGTATCAATGAGGCAAAAATGGAAAGTCTTAAAATGTTTTTGAACACTTTTAGTACCGTTAGTGTAAACGTAACACTGTGTATTTAACTTACTTGTACAATCGATATTCGCAGTTGACCACACTCCTTGAGCAGAACAAGTTGACGTTGCAGGATCGTTTCCTGACACTAAGACAGCCCCGTCATCACAAGTGTAGGTGATGGTAGATCCTTCTGTCGTTCCGCTTCCTGATATCTTCGCGTATGCTTTGATTGGATGTGCTGGACATGCTACTACAGCTGCCAGAGATACAAACACATGGGAATTATATTTTGGACACTCTCTCGGTTTCTTTCTTAATTTGATAACATTGATATTTTTATATAACGACGAACAATATTGATTAGAGTCATAAACCTAGTACTCTCAATCCAGCTCCTTATAGACAAATCACCGTGTCACTAAATAACCCGCCAGGTAAATATCTAGCGATCTTCATGTTACACAAAATTAATTAATCACTCTTAATCACCATATCTGATTATCATAAATGTTTCAAATTGGTTGGTTTATCTTGAGTATGGCATTTATAACAAGACAGAAAACTGTTATTTTAGGATAATGTGTTCCGTATATATGTGAATAAAATGTTAAGAGGTTTAGTATTTCAAAGATCGAACAAGCTAAATTGACTTTTCCTTTTAAAGATGACAAAGCAATCACTATACAGTCATTTAAACAAGCCTTTAACATAGTCAATGAAACCTTTCATTTTTTCATTTTAGTTGAGATGTTTTAATTGAGTAGATTCGACATTTATTTTAACGTTCTAAACAACAACAAAATTAAGATAGCATTCATTTTAAAGTTATGTTACACTTACATTCTTTAAATATGGAATCAGCTTAATAATGTTTTATTGACACTTGAGAGTAAGAAAATGTCATGAAAATATCAATGACAAGTCTCTGATATTGTAAAAAAGGCAGTTATGTTAAATATTTTATCACATTTTTGAAACATCAAAAAATGATATCAGTCACCGTTTGAAGATAACACTTTGGACATTTACCAATCAGAACAGCCCTGTTTAATTGCTACACTCGATGTTGCAGATTTTCTGTTCAAATGACGATGACATTACGGTAGGATAAACGTCTGTTTAGTATATATCTGCTACGTCATTTGTTGTAAACAAATTATCTCAAATGGTATCTGTAAACAGTCTGTTTAGTGGTTCATTTAAAATGTCTTCATTAACATATGGGGCCAAAATTACGCTACTTATTCCATCTTATTTTTTTGCAAACATTTTCGTCGTTGTAAGGATTTAAGAAGTTTTTATGTTTACTAAAACAAAATTGTGTGACATGAGGGAGTATTAATGGAGATAATTTTGTTTGCGATGTGTAACCGGAACCAGTAATTGGTTCTCACCTAAAGTACAGGAATATGAACTCCCTGTCCACGCCCCAGAGACCTGACACGTGACGGTAAACACGCTGCCGCCGATGTCGTATCCACTGGCACAGGTAAACGTCCTCGAACAATCATAAGTCGTACAGCCAGAACTAACTACACCATTAGGTTCGGACACAGTAGGCGCTCCACAATCTGTTATAAACAATGAAGGTATATAGCTATCAATGGTGAATGGACTATCGAGCTGAGATGAAATTAAAAGCGTAACAAAGTACAAAGATATATGTAAAATGTAACCCTATTGTAATGTATACACAGCAACAATATTCCTTTTATGAACAAACTAATGTGCAGCAGACTGGTGCACAACGTTAACACTTATTCGTACCTACATGTACGATTTGTCAGAAGAGTATTGGTTATATGTGTCTATATAATATGTATACATTCATACAATTGTACAGGTGAGTGTTGGTTATATTTATGTGTCTATATCAGATGTATACATACCTACGATTATACAGGTGAGTGTTGGTTATATATACCTGCATTTTTATCATATGTATACAGACCTATGGGTGTACAGGTGAGACCTGGCGATGACCAGGTACCCGAAGCCTGACAGGATATGGTACCACTGCCAGTGTTTGGAGTATAACCTGTGTTACACGTGTAACTCCGTGATACTGGGTAGGTAGTGGTGGTCAAACTGTCAACACTTCCGCCAGATAACGAGGGTGGCGGTCCACAGTCAACTAGTAACAAAACAAAATATGCCAATTTACTGCAAATGAGGCATGAAACAAAATGGAATTCCAAAACGTCGAAATACTTAAAAGCTTTTTTTTTCTTTTTCATGTGAAAAAACATGCAGAGCACTTGACGACCAAAGAATACCACATAACACTTCCAGTGCACGTGGTTGTGATGTCTCTGTCAGTGAAACAAACACTTTGAAATTATACTTTGGACACTGTCTCGTTAAAATTCTATACTTTGATAATATTTGATGCTGATTAGAGTCAGCAACATACTATTATCAAGCCAGCTCCTTATAGGCAAATCATCGTTTCACCATAGTACTAACCAGGAAAATATCTAGCGATCTTTATATTAAAAAAAAGTAAGTAATCACTCTTAAACACTACATCTGAGATTATATAAACATTTCAATTTGGTTGGTTTATCTTAAGTATGGCATTTATAACAAGACAGACAACTGCTATTTTAGGATAAAGTATTCCGTTCATATGTGAATGAAATGTCATGAGGTTAAGGGTCGCAAAGATCGAACAAGCTTTAAGGTAATAGGATTGTGTCGCCATTTCTCAGTAGAATTTATTCAAATTTTGTAGTTATATTGCTTTGAAGTAAAGAAAAATTTCTGCCACAAAAAAAAATATTGGTTGTCAGAATTTTAAGGATTTTAAATGGAAATTTATGTAAAAAGGAGTGAATTTTGAAAAATAATGTCAAGAAAAATGATACTTACATAGATTAGTATTGCATTAATGTATATCAATTTCATAAATGCTGAAATTGTGTAAAATTAATTATCTATAAACGATTAAAAATTGACATTTTACAGTAGTGAAATAGGTAGCCGGTTTCCTGAAGTACAGAAAAATGGACACATGTGACTCATTGATTAAAAAACAACTGAATTAATGCCTGGATTGCTTTGCAATACTTTAATATTGAAAGAACACACTGTTCTGTCAATAATAAGCATACAATATTCATCAGTTTAATATTAAACATTAGAATATGCGGAAATTGTGATACTGTCTCCTTACATTGGATTTTCAACTAGGGATGTACTTCCTATTTCTGTTTATCAATACATTCCTATGACCTTAATGAATTTTACCTTTTAAAGACTACGAAGCAAATACTGTACAGTCATTCACACAGTCCTTTAATATAGTCATTGAAACGTTTCAATTTAATTGAGAATTTTTCGTGAGTTGATTCAACAGTGATATTTATACAAAGCTAGCATTCTGTTTTAATTATACGACATCAATATTCCAAAAATATGTAATCAGTTTAATATTGATAGATTGACAATGAAGAGGTTTCCTACACTTGTTATTCCGTTACATTCAACAGTCCTTTCCCAAACCTGTTGTTCCGTTACTTTGAACCTTCCTTTCCTACACCTGTTGTAACGTTACATTGAACCAACTTTCCTACATCTGTTGTGACGTTACATTAAACTTCCTTTCCCACAAATGTTATTCCGTTACATTGAACCTTTCTTTCCCACACCTGTTGTTACGTTATATTGAAACTTTCTTTCCTACACCTGTTGTTACGTTATATTGAACCTTCCTTTCCTACATCTGTTGTGACGTTACATTAAACTTCCTTTCCCACACCTGTTGTTACGTTACATTGAACCTTCCTTTCCTACACCTGTTGTAACGTTACATTGAACCAACTTTCCTACATCTGTTGTTACGTTATATTGAACCTTCCTTTCCTACATCTGTTGTTACGTTACATTGAACTTTCCTTTCCCACACCTGCTGTGACGTTACATTAAACTTCCTTTCCCACAAATGTTATTCCGTTACCTTGAACCTTTCTTTCCCACACCTGTTGTTACGTTACATTGAACCTTCCTTTCCTACACCTGTTGTAACGTTATATTGAAACTTCCTTTCCTACACTTGTTGTTACGTTATATTGAACATTCCTTTCCCATACCTGTTGTTACGTTATATTGAAACTTCCTTTCCTACACCTGTTGCTACGTTATATTGAACATTCCTTTCCCACACATGTTGTTACGTTACATTGAACCTTCCTTTCCTACACCTGTTGTAACGTTACATTGAACTTTCCTTTCCCACACCTGCTGTGACGTTACATTAAACCTTCCTTTCCTACATCTGTTGTTACTTTACATTGAACCTTCCTTTCCTACACCTGTTGTTACGTTACATTAAACCTTCCTTTCCTACACCTGTTGTTACGTTACATTGAACCTTCCTTTCCTACACCTGTTGTTACGTTACATGAAACGTTCCTTTCCCACACCTGCTGTGACGTTGCATTGAGCCTTTCTTTCCCACACCTGTTGTTACGTTACATTGTACCTTCCTATCCTACACCTGTTGTTACGTTACATTAAACCTTCCTTTCCCACACCTGATGTTACGTTGCATTGAACCTTTCTTTCCCTCACCTGTTGTTACGTTGCTTTGAACCTTTCTTTCCCACCCCTGTTGTTACGTTACATTGTACCTTCATATCCTACACCTGTTGTTACGTTACATTAAGCCTTCCTTTCCCACACCTGTTGTTACGTTGCATTGAACCTTCCTTTCCTACACCTGTTGTTGCGTTACATTGAACCTTCCTTTCCCACACCTGATGTTACGTTGCATTGAACCTTTCTTTCTCACACCTGTTGTTACGTTACATTGAACTTTCCTTTCCCACACCTGCTGTGACGTTACATTAAACCTTCCTTTCCTACATCTGTTGTTACTTTACATTGAACCTTCCTTTCCTACACCTGTTGTAACGTTACATTGAACTTTCCTTTCCCACACCTGCTGTGACGTTACATTAAACCTTCCTTTCCTACATCTGTTGTTACTTTACATTGAACCTTCCTATCCTACACCTGTTGTTACGTTACCTTAAACCTTCCTTTCCCACACCTGTTGTTACGTTACAATTTGCCTTCCTATCCTACACCTGTTGTTACGTTACATTAAACCTTCCTTTCCCACCCCTGTTGTTACGTTGCATTGAACCTTTCTTTCCCTCACCTGTTGTTACGTTGCTTTGAACCTTTCTTTCCCACACCTGTTGTTACGTTGCATTGTACCTTTCTTTCCCACACCTGTTGTTACGTTACAATTTGCCTTCCTATCCTACACCTGTTGTTACGTTACCTTAAACCTTCCTTTCCCACACCTGTTGTTACGTTGCATTGTACCTTTCTTTCCCACACCTGTTGTTACGTTGCATTGAACCTTTCTTTCTCACACCTGTTGTTACGTTACATTAAACTTTACATCTGTTGTTACTTTACATTGAACCTTCCTATCCTACACCTGTTGTTACGTTACATTAAACCTTCCTTTCCCACCCCTGTTGTTACGTTGCATTGAACCTTTCTTTCCCACGCCTGTTGTTACGTTGCATTGAACCTTTCTTTCCCACACCTGTTGTTACGTTGCATTGAACCTTTCTTTCTCACACCTGTTGTTACGTTACATTGAACTTTCCTTTCCCACACCTGTTGTTACGTTACATACGTTACATTAAACTTTCCTTTCCACACCTGCTGTGACGTTGCATTGAACCTTCCTTTCCCACACCTGTTGTTACGTTACAATTTGCCTTCCTATCCTACACCTGTTGTTACGTTACATTAAACCTTCCTTTCCTACATCTGTTGTTACTTTACATTGAACCTTCCTATCCTACACCTGTTGTTACGTTACATTAAGCCTTCCTTTCCCACACCTGTTGTTACGTTGCATTGTACCTTTCTTTCCCACACCTGTTGTTACGTTACATACGTTACATTAAACTTTCCTTTCCACACCTGCTGTGACGTTGCATTGAACCTTTCATTGAGCCTTTCTTTCCCACACCTGTTGTTACGTTACATTGAACCTTCCTTTCCTACACCTGTTGTTATGTTACATTGAACCTTTCTTTCTCACACCTGTTGTTACGTTACATTAAACTTTCCTTTCCACACCTGCTGTGACGTTGCATTGAACCTTTCTTTCCCACACCTGTTGTTACGTTACATACGTTACATTAAACTTTCCTTTCCACACCTGCTGTGACGTTGCATTGAACCCTACACCTGTTGTTACGTTACATTAAACTTTCCTTTCCACACCTGCTGTGACGTTGCATTGAACCTTTCTTTCCCACACCTGTTGTTAAGTTGCATTGAACCTTTCTTTCTCACACCTGTTGTTACGTTACATTGAACTTTCCTTTCCCACACCTGCTGTGACCTTACATTAAACCTTCCTTTCCTACACCGAACCTTTCTTTCCCACACGTGTTGTTACGTTACATTGAACCTTCCTTTCCCACACCTGTTGTTACGTTGCATTGAACCTTCCTTTCCCACACCTGTTGTTACGTTACATACGTTACATTAAACTTTCCTTTCCACACCTGCTGTGACGTTGCATTGAACCCTACACCTGTTGTTACGTTACATTAAACTTTCCTTTCCACACCTGCTGTGACGTTGCATTGAACCCTACACCTGTTGTTACGTTACATTAAACCTTGCTTTCCCACACCTGCTGTGACGTTGCATTGAGCCTTTCTTTCCCACACCTGTTGTTACGTTACATACGTTACATTAAACTTTCCTTTCCACACCTGCTGTGACGTTGCATTGAACCTTTCTTTCCCACACCTGTTGTTACGTTACATACGTTACATTAAACTTTCCTTTCCACACCTGCTGTGACGTTGCATTGAACCCTACACCTGTTGTTACGTTACATTAAACTTTCCTTTCCACACCTGCTGTGACGTTGCATTGAACCCTACACCTGTTGTTACGTTACATTAAGCCTTCCTTTCCCACACCTGTTGTTACGTTGCATTGAACCTTCCTTTCCCACACCTGTTGTTACGTTACATTGAACCTTTCTTTCTCACACCTGTTGTTACGTTACATTGAACCTTTCTTTCCCACACCTGTTGTTAAGTTGCATTGAACCTTTCTTTCTCACACCTGTTGTTACGTTACATT